GCCTCAGGCCCCGGGGCGGGGGCCCAGGCACGGGTGCTGTGCGGGGAGGCGGGCGCGGAGCTGAGGGCGCCTCTCGGGCCGTGGCGCCCAGCTTGACCCCCGGGCTCGCGCCGTGGGTCGCCCGTGGCACAGCCGGGGAGGTGGCAGTGGGAGAGCGGGCGTTCACGCTGCCCAGAGCGCGGCCCTGAGGAGCCTCGCGGGCCGGGCCTGGGGCTGCGCCCCCGCCTGTGGGGGCAGATTGCCGACAGCCATCTCGGTGGCCGTCTGCCGTCGTGGGCAGTGGGAGAGCGGCGCCTCCTTGTCTTTCCTAGAGGACAGGAAGCTTTGTACAGGTAAGCTCCTGCCCTGGGCTCGCGCGTGTAGTCGTCATCGCAGAAATCTTTTCCAGACCTGAGCCTTTAAGGGCCAAAAGCTTGAACCAAGTGGAAGCGTTTGTGCCAGCGTTAGCACCAATCGTGGGCAGGAGAGGGGGTGGCGTGGGCAGGCGGGTGCCATTATACCAGGCTCCGCATGTGATGGGGGTGTCACCTGTCCTGTGGCTCATTAGCTTGGAGGTATTGCTCCGTTTCTGTAGGTCTGTGGGTAAAAGAAGAGCAGGCTTTGCCTGTGTTAGATGGGGCGTGGATTTCCGGGCTGTAGCAGACCAAACTGACCCTCCCCTGCTACTAGGCCAATGTTCAGTGCGGCAGGAGAGGACGCTGTCTCCTTCGCTCCATTGTACCAGTTTCTGGCACGTCAGGGTCTCCACTAGTGCCGTGCCATTTGGGAGCTCTGTTAGTCTAATGCCCTCTGAGCCCAGATTACAACCATCTCTCCCCTCCGTGTACAACAGCTTGAGATGGTAACAGTATTGTTGGACAACAGCTGAGAAAACTGTCGCTGAGGAGCAGCCCGAGCTTTCTACCAGTCGCATACTCTGCTGACGTAGCCTGAACTTCAAAGGTGAGACTAAAAGCAAACAACAAAGGGGAAGGGCACTGGTCTGTGAACGGACTTTTTATGGATGAGAAGTGAATAAATCCTTGAATGAATGGCTCTTGAACTTTGGGTAACATCTAGAGATGGAGGAACATACTGAGAAGTTTAGCTGAGAGTGAGGGTATCAAGAAAGGAAGGGGTGGAGGCAGGGAAGTGACCTGGGAAGCAAGGGGGGAGAACTCAAAAGGTGTGGAGAGGAGAAACCGGTGGCATTTGGAGAGAGTGAGTGGCTCCCCTCCTGACTTTTCTTTGTGAGTGAATGGGTGATGCTCACTAATCTGGGGCTGCCTCCAAACAGCATAATCTGAACATGTTGAAGGGGAAGAGACTAGTTTAATTTTTTAGAGCCAAAGACCAGGGTTCTAGTTTGAAATGCTTCTTTGTATGTGCAGGGCCCTCACGCCACATGGATTTGTTGCACCCTGGGGCAGAGGAGTTAGAAGGAAAGGGAAGCAATTGAGAGAAATGTGGAGAGCTAGAAAGGGAGTTTATAACTAAGCTGCTGCCGCCAGTCATGCTTCCCATTATGCAACATGGTTTTTGGTTTGTTCATGCTAAGGATCATATTATTATTTTTTGAAATCTATGAAGTAGAAAGGCAGTGTCTGAATCCAGCATGTAAATCCACTCTTTTCCCCAAGGGCACTACATCTACTACTGTGTCTTGCACTGGATTTAGATGTTGCTAGAATGCACTGTCACGTCTGTCTACTACGGACCTGATATAACAACAGGTTCAGTCCAGCTCCACGTCACCAAACTCATTTGGCTTCTGCTTCAGAATTTTTCTTGGCAGAGAGATCTGTGAATGAAGGAGACCATTCTCTTAATCACAGTCTATGAACCGTATTTCATGGTGTACAAGTTGACGTGGTGTCAAAGTTGACCCCATTTTTCAGATCAAAAAAGTTAGGAGTTCTCTGGATCTGGTGTATAACTCAACCTAACTTTTTGGATCAGAAATATGGGATCAGCTTATACCAGCCCCTGTGCACCCTCCAGCGACAGCAATGCTGTCGGTGAGGAAGGTCGAGACAGTGATGGGGGTCAAAAGTATTGATATGGTGTATAAGTCAAGGGACAAATTTAAAGGTAAATATTTTGTCTCAAAACCTCAACTTATACAGCATGAAATATGGTATGTATGTGTAGGGGAAGTCCCTCTAGCTTTGGTGAGACATACTGGAGGAAGAGCATGGGGAGAATTACATCTCCCCAAGATGCGATTGCTTCCAATGTCAGGCTCCAAGGGTGTTAGCTGGCAACACTTGCTGAACTTAGTTCTACTCAGTTGACCTTTGTAGCTCTTTGCCTATAGTTAGGGACCTACTGAATTCACGATGTCATGATTTTTGCGGAAACTGCAAATTCAGTTGGTCTCCATGAGAAAGCCTGGTACCTGGGAAAAGGCGCAGGGACCGTGAAAAGGTGAAAAATCAGCAGTGAGCAGGGGAAAAAAAAAGCTGAAAAACCCAGAAAAGGGCAGAAAGACCTGGCATCCTGAAGCATGGAGAGAGGGAGAGCAGGGAGAAATTTTCACAGCACGGCGGCCCTCCCCCCTCTGGCTGAGGGGCCCCAGAAGTGCCTCCCCTCCCTGGAGATTGGCAGATGGCCGTCCTGTTAACAAATGGTCATCTGTCCATGTCTGGGGAGGGGCAGGACTTCCAAGGCCCCTTGGCTAATCAGAGGCATGGGGGGAGCCCACCATGCTCCACTGCAAAAATGGTGCCCAGTGCTGCACTTGCAGCACATTATCAGGGGGCAGCTGCCCTGAATTTGGTAGGTCCCTACCCATAATTGAAAGAAGAAGCCACTGTCATTCTCTGCAGAGGGATTCTCCACTGTCTCCATTCACACAGGGGCTGGCAGCTTTCCAGATGAGACTGGATGATTCAGAATGAGCCAACACTGCAACTCGCCATTTGTTTGGTAGGAAACATAACAGACAGCTAAAGATGTTTGTCATGTTTTTACAGTGCTTTGATGGTTAGCACCAGAAGATTCATTTAATGGGAGATCACATTTCCTCCTCATTTATTGAAACATGAAGACCAAAACCAAAGGAAAGAAGCATAAGTTTACAGTTGACAAAGAAGCGTCAAGATTGAGTGAAGAGGAACTGGTAAAATGTTTGCGGCAGAAAGAAAAGAGACGCAGGGGAAAGAAGGAAAGCAGTAAGATGGCAGCAGCGAGGGCCAAGCATTCTTGGAACAGCAAGGACAGAGAGTCGAGACGACTGGAAAGCAATGAGCGGGAAAGGCAAAGAATGCACAAGCTCAATAATGCGTTCCAGGCCTTGCGGGAGGTCATCCCTCATGTAAGAGCTGAAAATAAACTTTCTAAAATAGAGACTCTCACACTGGCCAAAAATTATATTAAGTCACTAACCTCCACCATACTTAGTATGTCGAATGGACACTTCCCAGCTATTGAAGGATCAGGGCCCAGTGGGTCCACATTGTACCAGCATTACCAACAGCAGCCAAGGGAAGATGAATGTGAAGAACAACTAAAAAAATACTCCACGCAAATACAAAGCTTCAGCAAAGGCAGCTAAAATGATCTACTGGCTTTGCTTTCTCCCATCCCCTCATTTTTGTGCATTTCAGCGTTTGGAGAGTTAAGGGGTTGTTTCCTCCAGTCTTTTTTTGAACAATCAGACAAAATTTAGTGACTACACCTCATGGTACACATTGAAATTATCTGAAATTGTACATGAAGATTTTCAAGGAGTTCAGTAATTTTGTTGGATGTCTCAGTGTTTGGGTCCCCAGAGAGTTGGGTACTTGGGACTTTGTGAAGATTAGGCTTCTTTAAGGTTTTTTGAATTGGCACCCAACTGTAGAAACACCTCAACTCACTAGTCTTTCTGCAGAATCTTGGCTGAAACATTTGTTCCTTCAGATGACACAATTTAGTGGACAGTCTGGTGGACAAACAGTGAAATATTGATACTCCTGTATGGTGCTTTGATAGCAGCCAGACACTTGAAGAAAATACTTAGCTGATCTGAGCTGGGGTAAAAGGAATAATTTGTTTAATTACAATTACAGGGAACTATACTGAATACTATATTGAATACTTAAATGTCCTGCTGCTAAAGAGAAAGAATAAAGTTCACGACAATAGAAATGTATTTGACCAGCTTGATTACTCCAGTCCAGCAGACAGGTAACTTTCTGTCATGCTAACAAAGTTTTATGGTGCATTTTGGTCCTACTTCAAAACTCACCAAAGCTAGATGTACTACTGTACTTAAATGCACACGAATCTGAACTTTGCTGCACCATATATATTTGAAAGTTGTTGTTTTAATTTGAATACCAAGATGTCTTAGATTGTGAGCTTTTCAGGGCAAGGATGTTGATTTGGCTGTGTTGGCACGGCACCTAGCCCTGTGAAACTTAGTTGCCACTGGGTCTTTTGAGTGCAATTGGGGGCAATTGTAGTATAGGCAAATCATTTATGATGTTTGTAAAATTATGATGACAGAAATGTTTTATTTACAGTGTGTTGTTTGCAGGTTAGATATTGATAATATATCTAATTAAATTGAAGCCTGCTAACAGCCTGCTTTGTAATCAGGTTGAGTTTATACTGGGTTTGCACAGTATCATGAAATTGGAATGAGGCAGAATTTCTTAAAACAAGAAAATTCGTTTATTTTTATTCCTAAAGTTTGTATATGACTAAGAAAGCCTGATATCCCCTCTGTCTTGCACTTCCTTCATTCCCACAAATAAGCTAAAGTCTCCTTGCTTGGAAATGTGGTGCACGTACAGTTTGTATTGCAGCTCCATCTGCCTGTGGTCGCACAGTTCTGATAGTAGCAGGATAATTGCTGGACAGTTGGACTCCATACAGCCATGAGGTGGAGCATCATGCACACTACCTCTTCCTCTTTGCTGGACGGGGCTGTGCCTGTTGCAAGCTGGGGCGGGAGGGGTGGCGTTGAAGAGACCTTTGTTGATCCTGCACCCTTGGTTCTTCACCTGCAGTTGAGCAGTAGTTCTGTCCTTATGAATCCTTGCTGCTTTAAGGCTTGATTTAATTGAGAGATGATTTAGCCCTTTTATATGTTGTAACATGTTGTTTATTTAATTCTGGCAGGACTGGTAAAGTGATGTTTTCATTTGGAAGAAAGTTTAAGGTTTCACAGACAGGCCAGTAAAGAATACCAGTTCCTCTCTTCTGCCATAGCTACTTGCAGGTATGATGTAGAATAATGTTACATTTTATGCATTGAGCTAACAGAATTGTTGAGGGAAGGAGGGAACTGTGTTTTGCCTCATCAATTTAAGGTTTTCCAGTTCCAAATCTAATTTCTCTCCACCAAAGATTTGCCACAGCAGACAATGGGTGAGCCAGTTGGGCATCTTACCTCATACAGTAGCCACAATGTGCCCATTATGTCCCTAGCTTATTGGATAACTTTCCACATGAGATGATTGGCTGTGTTGGGTCAAGTAGGATTGGGTTGTTGTTGTAGGCCTGATAGTTCAGGAAATATATATGTGAGGAAAGGATTTTTGGGTAATATCGTTTATTGGGCTGTATAGTTGGGAGAGATGTTAGACAAGCACTAAGTGAACACAAGCACTAAGAGCACTAAGTGCATTTGCCTAGGTCTGATGAAAGGCGTTTTCTCTCACTTGCTTTTTACATGCATGAGAAGAGGCCCATTAAGTCTTAACTGCTCACTGATTTTACCTGCCACCAGTCAGGTTAGAGTGACCCTAAAATCCTCTTCTGCAGCCAAGGCAGATTCTGAAAAGGAGGGATCTGATAGACACTGAGGGTCTTCAGATTTCTTTACTTGATGAATTGGGAGAGAGACACATTACAGCCCATAAGCACTTTTCATTGCAGGGGAACCTGTAGTTCAGGCTTGGATGGCAATACAGAATTTTGTTTGAGATCAGTGACAGACGGTTTGCGCAGGCAATACCTCCCTGCAGCACTGCAGACTCCCAAGAGAAAGCAGACCTGCTTACATTCAGAGTTGATAGAGGAGCTGCATAGAGAGCCACTCTTCTAAGGTGAGCTCCTGTTTCCCCCAGATAGTTAAACTTAAGGGGTCACTGTGTGTGTATATTTTTTCCTCCTTGCGAAACATCAGGGTTGAAATTTTGGCTTCATAGAAGACAATGGTAAAACAAAAGCTTTCCTACACTTTTATTTGAAATGCCCAAATTCTGGTGAGGTGTCATTTAAACCATAGTGTTACATATCCAGGGGTCCAAAGTGAATTAGTTTGAGGGTTCTGATCTGCCTGCATAACTAGTGTCAAAGTTTAGACCATGTTAGCAAATGAGACTGCTTAGGATTTTGTCCCCTCATAGAATTTGAATGACCTCCGATGGTAGCTGGAGAAAGCCAGCTCAGGAGGAATAAGGCCACAACAGCTGGGAAGCAGTCAAACTGGAAAGGCTAATAAAGGTCAGAAACATTTTTAAACAATTGCAATGTAAACACTGGACTGTTTGTGTAAGTGGTGAGGCATGTGACAACAGCAGCACAGCATCCATTACACCTGGTTCTGTGGAACAACTCTTTTTTTTCTACAGCTAGTTACTTACGTTTTAAATAAAGAGAGCTACACACTACCATTCCTGGGCCTAACACACAGCCTCATCCACTGGAGGCCATGGCAGAGGAAGGTCTTGGTAACATGGTTATCCAAGAATGTGGTCCAAATTGTTTGATCATAGGCTCCTTTTGAATCACTTTTCCCTTCCACAAATCTCCAAGGATCCCATCAGGTTTGTGGGCTACAATCTCTGGCCACAGGGGAACGATGATGCATTCTCCCCCCTTTGCTTCACTGAGCATGGGAGGAACTTGCTCAATTGATCTAGCTGCAGCTTCTTCTGGTGAGGTTCACTGTAGCAGGCGTAATAGACCTCAGCTACCTAGCTTTTCAAGACTGCTGCTGCTTACTACTCCAGGAATACCTATTCTTGCATTGCTTTAAAGAAAAGTTATTCTGTATGCATTTCTTGCAAAGAATCAGCCACAACAATTTTAGCAGCCATGTAACAAACCTGCTTTTGTAACAATTATTTTACAAGGCAGTGGGAAGAATTGTGGTATGAACAAAAGCTTCTTTCCTTTTAAAATATACTAGAGAATTGATGTGAGTACACACTTCAGAGGGTAATTGATTGGAATTACCACAGTCCTTGGATTCTTGAACGAAGCAGAAAATGCTTTGGTCAGAAATCAGAGGGTACTGCATGTAGTACTAGTTTTATTATTATGCCTAATATTAGAGAAAATTAGCATTACAGCTAGGTACAACTGATATTGTGGCAGACTGTGGTCAATCTTGGAGATAGATATAGGCCCTAAATCAGTAAAAATGTAACTTGCTTAAAATGATCCCTTTTTAGAAAAATCACTTATACAGATGCTTAAAGTTAAGTAGTTGTTTACTAAATGTTTTCATGAAACTATCCAGGGTTTCTAGGGACCCTATTTAGGGACAGATAACTTTTATAAGTGGCAACAAATGGCATCTAGAAAAAAAAATCTTCTAATTCTTGTAAGGTTCTTTAAACTTTCTCAATCCCATGCTTTACAATGGAGATTCCCACTGTAGCATTCTGCAGACTTCAAAGTCCTTCCACAAAGGACTTTTCTGACAAGGCAGCATTTTAGCTTCCATGTGCATCATTGGTTGGACCTAAGGCTTAGTACGAATAAGGAAGCATTATTTTAAGTTATTAAAGAATTTGACAAGCAATACTGCATTACATTGAACAAATGCAGTATCAGGCAGTCAGTGGTACAAAGAACAGATATAAAAGGTACACTTGCCCTGAGCAAATACTGGCCGTCAGCTGTGACCTGCTTATGACTAATGTGAACAAAACTGTTGGCTACTTTAGTACACATCCTATAATATACATGACTTCGTAGTTTCAGGAAAATAGCTAACCCTAGTGTTGCAGGAGCTCTTGTGTGTGCAAATTAAACAGGGATTGCACAACAAGTAACTTATTTCTGACAAAAATCAATCTTATTGTGCAAGACCATTTAAAAAACTGAAGTCAACTTTCATTAATGAGCCTTTTTAAATCTTTTTGACTGTTTGTTTAAAATTAGCTTTTTGTAGTGAAGCAGACAGACATGAGTTGGCAACCCAGGGAGAAATAAAAACATGCAAGATTACCTTAATTTTAGAACAAATTTTATTGACTCAGTATTTGACACATAAGATTAGATTATTGAACATGTAAACATTGGATATTCAAAAGGAAAGTATCAATGACCTTCTGATATAGTGCAGAGAAAAAGCAAGCCTAATAAATTATCTAAGAGTAAATGTGATAAATCTGTTAACTATGTTTGAGACAACTTGTGTGATTTATAGAACTGTGCGCATCTTAGTATTTATAGGAATTAATGCAAATACAGTGTCACTAAATATCTACACCACGATGCAGATGTAAAAATCACAGAAAACTATAATTACTTAATGGAAAGTCAGTAGTTTGCCCAAACAATATAGGATATTGGATATCTAAGAATCTTTATTTCACATTTGGACTTTTGAAACAATTTCTCTTGGCATTAAAATATCAGATATACATTTGGAATACATGCAAACAAAACAGCTTTACATCTACAAATGCACTACTTGACACCACAAGAGACTGTATGTAATTCATATAAAAATAACTCCATATATAGTCACATACACAACATAGGGAAATAGGCTATAAACTCACACTTGAGTGCTACTAATTAGACACGTGAGTGCAGAGGCTGCTAGAAAATGGCAATTACTGTGCTCCAGCAGCCTCCTGCATCTCATGTATCAGCATCCCCGCACTTAAAAATGGCAGCGGAAGTGCCTGAACTAAAGCTCATTGAACAAACCCCCTGCTGCCATTTTTAAGCATGGGGACACTGATACATGAGATGCTACAGTGTTTTAATTAGAGCGGCTCTAAGAGCTGCTCTAATTAAAGCGTCATGGTGTCTCACGTATCAGTGGATCAGTGACTCTTGGAGCCATGCTAATTAAAGTGCCGCCCTCCACCTCTGAAGCATGTGTAAAAGTGCCCTCTGACCCTGATTTTGCTCTCACTGAACTCCCATGGAGTTGAAGGTACAAGATCAGTCCCTCAACAAGAATCTCCAAGCTTCTGACTTTGCCAAGTGTTAGGTGTCTTTCTGAAACCAGTGGCAGGCAGCTGACTTCAGCACTTTCAGGGAGGTGACTGGCACCCACAGGATTGGTTTTAAAATAAAAAAAAAATAGATAATAATTTAAGATTAACTAAGATTCCAAAGAAGGATGAAAGTGGACGTTCTCTTTTGAACACTAGCACTACAGTGATGTATTAATTCACTAGAAGAAGAGCTGGAAATATAATCAAGATGGAACATTTAGTTCAAACTCACAGCAGAGCCACAGTCTAAGTGCACAGGGGCAGAACTCCACATGCTTCATAGAATTAATTTGGATTTCTACCTGTATAATGTTAAAATCAGACGTATGACCTTTCCATTCTCTCTGTAGAAAAAAGACTCATACAAAAGCATGATTTGTAAGCAGTTGGAGTATTGCCCAGATCCTTAAATATATTTAGGTGCCTAACACCCCCTTACCTTAGTAGGAGTTTGTCATTTAATGCCTTTGAGTATCAGGACAAGGGAAAAAATAAAAAGCAGTTTTGTCATTCTTAGGTTTGATATTTAGACCCAGGTCCTACCACCCCTATTCACAATGAACAGGACCATATCATTCTACTGAAATCTGTGGAAGTATTTGTGTAATAGAATATTACTTTGCCCCAAGTCAAGGTAGCAGATACTGGTCATGAACAGGCATAAGTAGGATTTGCAAAAGAAAAGATTTGCTGGTTCCAAATATGTCTGCAGAATCGGGCCATGTATTCTTTGCTGTTGTGCAATTGCTTTAGCTTCCTGTAAATCAAATCACATTGATACAATTTTTAAAATCCAAAGAAGAAACTGGAGAATAGTATACAAGATGCATTTATATATGAGGCATGTAGGGAAGGATGTTAAATATTTTTTATAAAAAATAAATATGCAATGCAAGTTTGCAAAGATAGTCACATTCATCTGGTTTTACAGCAGCTATGTCAAGGGTCTTTTCTTATGGTTCCTAGCAGTGCCCACCTGCTCTGACAAATTGCATGTCAGTTCTCTCAGGTCATTCTTCATCCATACTGGTAGAAGCTATTTAATATTAAAAAGCACATTGCAAATTCCAGGTCTAAAAATACATCAAAATTATCAGAGAGCTACTTTTTTCTGAGCAGTCATGATGAGCCCTACAGTTTGATAAGCCCTACAGTTTGTTTCTCTTTACATTGTTTTGAGAATGAGCAATGCCCAGTATACAGGCGACAGAACATATTAACAACTAACAGCATTTCTGTCTAGTTCCTGTCCTTCGATAACCAAAACACTGGCTTTAGAGTGGTCTCCTTTCCTTCCATTCTCCCCATCTTCTGGATCTATTGATTTTGCCAAATGTTCTTCAGAGGTATCCTGTAAAGCAACCTTAGGAGCTTCTGTTGCATTTCCTCTGACTGTAATGTGTTCCCATCCACCCTACAAGAAAATGTAAAATAATAATAAGGAAACATCATAATTTAGTTACACAATGTGATTCAGTGCTTTGTTTAGAACAAGGAACTTACTGTGTTTATTCAGCTCCTATCTAGGGAGAAAATTGCCTCCTAGGACTCTTTGAAAGACAGGCTTTCTGGTAAAACCCTGACATCATATCACACGTACCGCATTTACTCACACACCACATGCACCTTTAACTCAAAGTAACCATCCAATTGGGGTATGATTGTATAAGACAAGTGACTGCCACACTGGAATGGAAACTTGGGGATGCTGGAATGGCTTTTGTGGGCTGTGCTTGGATCCTGGCCACATGGAGCAGTGGCAGAGTCCACTTATCCGTGGGTACATCTACACAAGCAATTAATTTGCAGCAATAAACTCTGGTGCATACTGCATTGGAGTATATTGCTCTTGGGCACGCCATTTGAATGTGTGCCTGGGACCACAGCACACTGAGCCAGGTTGGAGTATCCCTGGCTGGCAGAAGGCCCGGGGGAGAGGGGGAGTGTCAGTTTGCCAGCCTAGGGCTGCTCTGATCCAGCAAAATGTTCTGCAGAGGGGCTGGCTGGGGCATAAGGGTGCTCTAGTGCAGGGCTAGCCAGCAGGCAGCCTTTGCACTGAAGCACCCTTGTACCCTAGCCAGCTGGGTCAGCATCTACATGTGCGCTGCTGTGCGTGAAAAAACTCTGCAGCAGGACAGTACAAGTGCTATCCTGCTGCAGAGTTTATTAGTTTCCTGTGGCCTAACAGGGCCACACATGTAGACCCAACGCATTTACTGCAGAGCTAACTGGGCAACTCCGCAGTAAATATCTTGTGTAGATGTGCCCAGTGTCATTCAGCTTTGCCCTGCGATATGCAGATAGAGGTTTACCCTTTTAACAGCCACTGCCAAATTGCCAGTAGCATTTCGCAGTGAAGGGGGCTGTGGAGCTGCAGATGGATAGTAAGCAATGCCAGGAAATGGACCCCATCCCTGGTCCATGCAGTGAGTGAGCCCATGCTGTGGCAGATAAGACTGGGAAAAATCGCTTCTGGATCCTGCTTTCCCAAAACAAGGTGTGTGTCTTAGTCAGGGGGATGTGTCATGTGAGTAAATATAGTCACTTCCCAGGGGAGCTGTGTAGATTTACTGGTTCCACAACAACAAAGGGGTGAAATCTCCAAGGCTCTTATTTTCTGGGTACCTTAGTCACAATGACTAAAAGGAATTAGGCACACAAGGCAAGGAACCAACTTTTCTAGAGCATGGAGCATGGGTGAACTACTGACTTCACTCAGGTCAAGGAGAGTTCTGCTGTCAGCTTCAAAGGGGTCAGGATTTCTCCTAAAATATTAAAAAAAGCTGCACTCTAAGTGCTGTAGAACTGTAACAGAGAGCAATGGGATCATCACATACAGGCCAAGACTTATTTTTTTAAATGCTACTATGTTAGTTCCTGTATTTTAAATTTTTCTGTTCAAACCTTTTAATTTCCTATTTAAAATAATGAACCTTGAGAACAGGGCAGGTCAAACTTCCTAACCCTTCCAGCTGCAAACCAAAATCTTGGCACAACTGAGAGCTGTAGGACACAAACTTTTGAGATGTGTGTGTCCCAGAGTCAGCGATCTGCACACAGTGCCCCAGCTCACATAATAATTAATCATTAAAAAATGATTTCTGAGAATCAATAATAAGCAAGACCTGAAGAAAACAAAAAATAGAAAATAATAAATTAATAGATAAATAAAAACATTATTTTTCTCTCCAAGTCTCTTTACTGTCCTTGATAGACAGCGCTGAGCAAACTGACAGTGCCCCAAAATTGAAACCTATTTGGATACTAACTCTAGAACAAATTTTTGCCTTCAGCACTTACCCCAATGCCGTAGTCCCACGAGAGCCCTTTGGGTTCCAGTGGCTGAACTCCTTTCCGATGACAGACTGTCCCGCAGCTTAGGCTATGACTTCCCTGAACTTTGTCAGCTATCACCCAGACCTTTTAAAAATAAATAGAAAAGGAGTATTTTAGCCCCCACAAATGAAAACTGTGACAATCCATGCAAGAACAGTCCATGTGATAGGATTCAGTGACTTTACTTACAGCATTAACCACCTAATTTGGGCAGAGAGAAACCTGAAGAAAACACATCTTGGCAGTGAAAACAATTCCAGGCAGTAAGACTTTACAAGTTTACAAACCATGCTTTTTACACTGTCTCACTGGGACAGCAAAAGGTGGTGTTACTATTTCACAGGGCATGGACAGATGTACACATATTCTGGTGTAATGTATAGCAGTTTGTACAGTGCACCAGATTTAGGACACAGACAGACAGCTGTCCACGCAATAGCTACTACTATGCCTTGCCCTTAGGTGGTAGAGGAGCACTCTCGTTTGTCTTTAGCAAACTGCTGTCCCAGGACTGACGTGGACAAATTAAAGCTAAGCTTGATTCTTACAGGGGCAGTTCTCCAATTACACGGGTTTACACCATCTGTCCATTTTTTTGTTTTTAAATAAAGGTATAATACCAATTATACTAATATATAAATATTTCATCTGTCTATGCCTTAATTCTCAGGTTGCCATTAGGACACATTTAGATCACTGCCTTATGGAAGAAATGAGATGAGAAACCAGTGTTTAATGAGGGTTTTGCCATATTATTTATAATTAATGAGATGCAAAGGAATTTAATACAGACCTGGTCCAGGGGCCCTACAGAAATTTTACGAATATTATTAGACACATGGTCCCAGCTAGATCCTTGAGGGTAGCTTGGTGTGATTCCTTGACGGTACCAGAGATTACCTATACAAATAGACAGGATTTAATTTATATAAAGAAGTGTGGTCTTTTACTTAGAGCGCAGATATGATCACATAGGAGGCTGATATTAAGCACTATAAGATATCAGTGGTAATACATATTTATCCTTTACAGCAAGGGTTGGTAATGTTTTTGCAGCAGAAGCCACTTTAACGGAGCTTAATTCTCAATGCAGGCAACATGCAATCCAGCCTGCGCTGTTGCTGCTGGAGCTACGGTCATTGTTCCCCCTCCTACAGTGCTGCTGCTATCACTACCACTTCTCCCCACCATCCAGATGCAACAGTACTACTAAAGCCCCTTCCACAACCCTCACCCCTGCCAAAACAGTGCAGAATCCCTCCAGGTAATAGGTGGCCAACTTCTGCTTTAGAGGATCTGGTTGCATTTCCTCCCCATGTGTTAAGAATTAGAGAGATGTAATTCAAGTTTTTGGAATTTATCGTTTTACAAGATTCCTAAAGGATGGCACAAGTCAAATTTGTAGACCTCCTTGGGGGAAAAGATCTTGTATTCTAAATCTATAAAAGAACAAGGTGTACCAATGATGTTAAAGTAAAGCACAGAAGAAGAAATCTCTCAGGAAGAAGGTTGCACTGTTAAAAACTTGAAAGAATACTTTAATTTCGTCTTTAGACAATAGACCAGTTTTTGTTTGGGGTGGTGTTCTGAATGTTACACTACACTTCCTGCTGTTTTGCACACTTCTGGGTTTCTGGCAGGGATCCTCAGGTACAAAACTCTTCTTTAGGAAAATCCAGCAAAGAATTAAACAAATGTTGCAGATGCAGTGTCCCATGTTATCTACAGGTGCCTACACACAAGCAGCAAGGCTGCTCTGACGTGCTGTAATTACAGCACGTCAGAGCAGACTCGATTAA